TGAGGAGTGTCAAACTAGATGTACACAAAAATGTACATCTAGAATTACTCTGATTTAATTATAATATTTTAATCTTCAATTGATATTTGTGTTTTGTTTTTACTTTTTTTCTTTATAAATTTGGATTACTTGATCACTAATTCAACGATTTGTGAAGAGTAACAAGTCAAAATATAAGTTATTTGTATAGACCACTAATAACATTATAATTTCAACGGAAGGTAAGATATACAAGTATACTAATTTTGCGGGTTTTAACTGAATTCTTTGGCGATTGAATACTTTTAATTAAGGCTTATTCTTTGGTTTTAACCACAACAATCACATCACGGTCCAAATTTTTGCCACATAGGGAGAGTGTCAAATACGTTGTCAACCAATAATGCTTTATTCAGGTTTGGAATGTAGAGGTGCCAAATACAACACTTTGATAGGTTGAATCATCATGTGCAATCTCAAAAACCAATTCTTGATAACAGAGCAGTTACCAATTTTCGACAATATAGCATGAGATGAATTGAGTCGGCAAGAGGTCGGAGGAAATCGTTCGGATCATCTTTACCGTTCTTCTCATTGTTCTCAAAACCGATTTTCATCGGATTATTTGAATTAGCTGAAGTTTTGGGGATTCAATTAAAGAAGCGTAATGTTTGGGGTTGTCCAAAATGTCAGTTACATTAGATTAATAGGAGTGATTAGAGATTAATAGATTCAACTGGTTGTTTTCTAGAGCGATGTAGGTTGGCGGTGGCGGTGGCGGTGGCGGAGGCGGAGGAGGAGGAGAAAGAAAAGAGTTTTTTTTTTTTGAAATAATTTATTTAGTATCCGTTTGCGCTTTTTTTAAAAATTGACAGAATTCATATAGATACTGTCGTGGCAACATCTGATTTTTTTTTTCTATCATCCTATGAAACCTCGTAATTTGTTGTCTGTAAAATTTTCTGTACTTGTAGCATGATCGTACCTGAAATTCCATGTTTAAATTCCTCGAACACTGCAATTTCAAAGCAAACATTTTAAAACTTGATCAAAATCGATCAATAGGACAGATGGATTCACCTAAAGGGAAAAATATATAATTATCATTCAAATTTAACGAACATGATTAAATATTTCAAAAATAGGTGGTCATATTTGTGACATTTGATAAAAAAAAAATTGTGATCTATATTTAATTAAAAAGGTTATGGTCACAATGGAAATAATTATTATCATGATCACATACTCACAATCACATACAATGTGTCACAAATCATAATTAACCGTTCACAATCGCTCTTCCGGTGACCTCACGCCACGCCACGCCACGCCACGCCATTACACCTGCACCATCTGATTTTCACTACCACCTCAAATACAAAATTACCACCACCAGATTGTACAATTAAGCAATTTCAAAGTACATTGAAGCCCCCTATGGAATCCTTCCATTGGACCATTGCCAATTGCAGCTTTACCACCAACTGCTTAGTGTCACAGTGGTAAAAATGTAAACTGAATTTTGACTCTGTTTTTCATCTCATCCAGAAGCGACTACGGAGAAACATTCTCTGATAAGGTGAAGATGATGCAAGCAGCCGAGTTCAATTGTGGTGGTTGCGACAACGGCGATGACAACGAACGAGGGGTAAAGTTGAAGAGTATTTTTCTTAGAAGGGGATAAAGGCTTCGACAACTAGGGCTGGGCAAAATGTCCGAACCGAACCGAACCGAGCGGGTTTTTTAAATTGAAATACCCGAACGGGTATCCGAATCGAGAACCGAATGGTTTGGTTCGGTTCTCGGTTCTCGACCAAGAACCG